TGACTCTTTCCAACCGATGAGCTTGTTGCTTCTGCTTGAGGCAGATGCTTGATGCTAACGTGATACCAATTCATTTTTGTTCACTCTAGATTGCAGCAAAGTACTGACAGGTGACATAGGGGACCTCCAGTCAGTCAACTACCCCTTGCACTACCCCACACACACGGAGTGCCAGACCCTGATACACACAGACACAGACAAGAGGGTGCAGATAGTCTTCAGCGAATTTGAGCTTGAGGAGGAGTCTAGAGATGCCGGATGTACATCTGATTACCTTAAGGTGAAATAATTCAAATCCTCGCTAATTATGCAAAACACCATTCAAGGTTAACCCGACTTTAGTACTGTTTTCATTCCTACAGAAAGTTAAAAATGTGCAGCCTTTTATTAAAGGTTGGGTGAAAGGAGATCATTTCATATCTCAGAAAGACAGAGCAATATTTGAATCCATAAATAAAACCAGTGTGAAAAGCTGCGTTGACAAGTCAAGGAGAGTGATTTCCATCTCCCAACAGCTAACAGATCTTACAACAGGCCGTTCCTCCACACTCTGTGGTCTGCTTGCACCGTTCATCTGGTCCTCCACAGCAAACGAAATCCTTCTGGAATTTATGTCCGATGACTCCAACACGTTCTCTGGGTATTCGGCATTTTACAATGTGTTGCCACGGATACCCAAAGTACCAGGTTAGGCTTTAATCTTTGTGTCTATGTTAAATAATAAAAATACAAAGATGTTCATTGATGGCATGATGACGTATTGTATTCCCCTCCACGATTCCATGTTCCCCTCAGAAAACAAGTTCATGAACAAGTATTTTATGGTTTACAGTATCTTAATGTTAAAGAACTTAATCCTTTCAAGGTGTCATGTTTATCTACTGATCTATTTTGAACTTCTTTGTTAGGCTGTAACGAGACCTTGACATCAGAGACAGGTGTTGTCCAATCCCCAAACAACGCTTCCAGCACTGATCTATATCCCAACTCCATGGTGTGTTACCAGCATATCGAAGTAGAACCATCTCAGCATGTTATCCTATCCTTCAGTGTACTCCGTGTTGAGTCGGATCCTAACTGCCAGAAGGACTATGTTGAGGTAAGAGTTTAAGACGAAGAGTTCAGAAATGTTTAGTCACTTTTCTCACGTTGTAAGATTCTGTTGAATTCTTAGACATTGAATTTCATGTGAAGTTTAAGATGTTAAGTTGTTGCATTCATGACAAACTGTTTCCACTGTTGTATGTTTTTGGTTGGACAGCTGATAGACGGAATCACCGGAGATACGGACATTTACTGCGGCGACATTGATCCATTCACGTGGATCTCGGATGGCAATGAGGTCATTGTCAAATTCCAGACTGATGCTGACAACCGTTTCCAAGGTTACAAGGCAACATTCAAGGCTCTTGGAAATGAGCCCTTCTCCAGTAAGCCTCTATGAATAAAATGTCCTTTCAGTAAGCTTTCCAGTTTGGGAAATTTGATGCCCAGAAGAAGGAATCTGGGACTTTTACCCGGATTCAATCAGAAAACGGTAAGAGTGCACATGCTGTTTCATATAACCAATTTTCTTGTAGATTGTGACGCCTTCTTTTCTGCTGACGTGGGAACAGTCCAGTCTCCAGGCTTTCCATCTCGTTACGGCAACAACCTCCACTGTGTTACCATAGTAACCGGACAGGAGCATCATCTCATCCAGTTGGTCTTTGCAACATTTGATCTAGAAGACTCTGAGGGCTGTACGTATGACTACTTAGAGGTAAGGCTTGACCATTGGTAAAGATCCAATTTTATAGTGGTGTGTCAGAAGGTTCTAGCAAGGCATGAATGACGGGTTTTCCAGGAAAGTTCTTTCTTGATTTTTGGGGACTGAAGTTGAGACAGAAACCGATAATCTGTTTTCCTTTTTTGTTAGAAGGCAACTTTAAGTATTGATACTCAGTTTTTGAGAGGCAACACCCTTTTTGAGAGATCTTGCAGAATCCCAGAGAACACATTTTGTTGTCTGCAATGCCCTGAAGAAGGTACTCAGTTACCAAAAGCTCGGCAATCACATATTTCAGAGCACTGATTTGATATTATATTCTTGTCGATATTCTGATCACGGTGTTACGCAGCCCTTCCGTATTTCACATTTTTTTGTCTGCCTGGTTGAACTGGATTGAAAGGTTTATGTTACTTTATAATCATTGAGATATTTTCAAACTTAGCAGACGGATGGTGTTTTTTCTTATTCACTGGCTTCTCTCTCTCTCCGCTTTCCTAGCTCCGAACTCAGGGGATCGGTGCTCCACTAACATCCTGTGGTGTCAAAGCTCCCTTCTCGTGGTTGTCAGCTGGAAACGTTGCCATCCTGACCTTCCATAGTGACTACATTGTGACCAGCCTGGGCTTCAAGGCCGACTATGAGCTGGTAGCCAAGCCTAGTCATCTCAAAGGTTGGTGGATTTGTTTGATTCTCATGGTCAGGGTTATTGTTGTTGCCTTGGGAAAGGGTTACTTGTAGTTTATGGCGGTAGTTTATGGCCATTTTATGTTCGATCGCATCTGATGGCTGAATAGGTTTTTCTCAAATGACACCACTTCTTAAAGTTTGCCACACGCATTGGCATTTTGGACGTCAAATTTTCATATCTCATAGGCTACTCCATATTTTAAAGATACTTGTAGTAGTACCTTTGCATGTGTAGAACATTTACACGCTGCGCACACGCACCTGATAGCATTAAATACATAGTGGAAATTTTCCTACAAAGATTATTTCCTATGAGAGAGATCTGTTTGGTTTTGCCGTGAACCAGTTTTTGCCATGACGTTTAGGTGGGTCTGTTCTGATCAAAACCGTATGCATGGTTTTATTTATAGCCTCTGCTTCTGATGGTTTATGTGGTAGAGCTTATGGCATGGAACTTGAATGTGGTTATTAAATGGTGGGCTGATTGTCAAGCCTGTCTCGTAGGTTTGTCAGTCTACTTAAGGCCAAAGTTACTGGTATAGTCATGGGAAGTAAAGAACCTGTCGTGGTAAAGTGGTATGTTACTATGGCCTGTGGTTTGTCTAAAGTGGTTAAGAGCTTTGAGAATCCTTTGCCAGTTATTTTTCACCTCTTCTATTCCACAGCTTGTGACGAGTCTTTTTTCACCCCAAATGGTACCCTGTCTTCACCCCTCTATCCCAAGCAATACCCAAGCAACAAGGACTGCCGCACTACCATCACAGCACAACCAGACTATGTCATTCAGATATATTTCTCTGACTTTGAATTGGAGTTCCATGAGAATTGTGACTATGACTACGTTCTGGTGAGTAGGGAGAAAGTGTGTGATTGGAATCTTAAGGGTGTGCTTCAGTAGCATTGTGGCTTGATGTGCATGTGTGTAACTTCAGTCAATTTCCACTGGCGTTTGGAAAAAGATTCCATCGGGGGGTGAGGGGTCAACCTCTATTTAATATGATACAACCACTGGCTTTATTTTGTCTTATTGAAAATTTTTGCCCATTTATATGACAGTGGCAAGGCATCATGATTTGTGTTTTCTTATCTACTTGCCACTGTAGCTGCGCAATTTTCCAGACGGACCTATCGACAAATACTGTGGTACATTGGATCCCTTCACTTGGGTGTCTAAGACCAATCAAGCTGTGCTTGAGTTCCACAGTGATGCCAGCACCCGAATGAAGGGATACCTGGCTTATTTCATCACCTACCCAGCTCCACTGCTGCCGGCGCCCACAGAGCACCTACCAGCTATCGGTAGGTTATGATAGTCTTGGCATTGGGCACTTTGGTGAGAGCTCTATTGGTGCAGAAATCCTGCCAGTCATAGGCTTGTTGGCCTCAGGACCAGTGCTGAGGTACTAGCAGTAGGAGCATTGCTATGGCACTAAACCCACCTGCATC